AAAAAAAGTTTTGAAGAATTTAAAATTGGTGTAGAGAAGCTCTGGAAGGCTGAGTGTTGAAGTTTGCAAGTCATCCCCCCCCTGCCCCCCTGTGTGACTCAGTCCTGCTCTAGCACTCATCCAGGAGGACATGGTTTGCACAGATATTTGCCAAAAAGCAGATTGGAGTGGCTATATGGTAATAACTCTTCACACTTATACAGTGCTTTCCTAGACACTCCAGTCAAAGATCGTTACAGGTTGTGGAGACTCCCCTCACCCACCTGGATGATGCAACGTCAGCCAGAGTGCGCCAGTACACTCGCCACACACCAGTTATCAGTTTGGAGGAGAAAAGACAGATGAAGCCGGTTCATAATTGCAGCTCTGTAACTGTGTGATGCTGATTACTGTGTTCAGGCACTGGCTGGGAGTGTTGAGTAATTAGTTTTGTGACTGTAGGACACTGACCACTGTGCTCAGAGCTTGCTGGTAGCCATGAGTTTGTAATTCCTTACGCTTAGCTTTTTTTCTGGACACTGCACTCAAAGTGCTTTGCAGGTAATGGGGAATCCCACTCCCACCACCAATGTGCAGCCCCTCCTGGATAATGTGACAGCAGCCAGAGGGCACCAGTACTCTCCCCACACACCAGCTCTCAGTGGGGAGGAGAGCAGAGTGATGAAGCCAGTTCAGAGATGGGGTTATTGGGAGGTGCTGAGCAGGGGCTGTGAGCTCCAGCTGTATTTATTCCTGTGTTCTCTCTCCCCCAGGCCTGGGCATGAACCGAATCCGCATCCACGTGCTGCCGTCCAGCCGGGGGCGTGTGACCCCCCAGGCCCGGGCGCAGGAGTCCCATTCCTGCTCCTTCTCTCCCCGGCCGTGCTCCCAGCCGCGCCTGGAGGGCCTGGAGTACTGCCTCAAGCACGTGCTGGAGGACAAGAGCGCCCCCTACAGGCAGTGCAGCTACGTCTCCAGCAAGAACGGCAGGCGGTGCCCCAGCGCAGCCCCCAAACCTGAAAAGAAGGACGGGTGAGTCCCCCTCCGTCTCCTGGATAGGAGCCACGCCCTGCTGCCCTTTCCTGGGTTCGGGGGGGTGCGCTTGGCACTTCACACCCTCACCCTCAAGCTAAGGGCAAGTGTGATGCGTCCCTCATCGTCGGATACGCATGTGTCGCTTCGACTCGCAGAGGGTGCAGAAGAACGAGAGTTTGGTGATGCCTCTTTCTTTGAGGTTGTCCTGCTATCAGGTCCCCTCATAGTCGTCTCTCTTCGAGACTTAAAGGTTTGGATTCTGTAGCTCATCAAAATCATCTTTTTTCACAAACCAATCCTCTGGGGTGCTAGGAATTATTTGTGGTGTCAACGTACTTGAAATAACAGATACAAACATATGAGCAGTTTCAAGAAAAAAATAATTATAAATAACACATAATGTATGCAAAATAAAACCTGATGCTACATGGCTGTGAAGATAGAATCCACACATTTACTAATAAATAATTTTATAACAGGTGAGCCAAGACACAGAATGGCTTCATCCCTGTCGGTGTAGGACATTTCCTTAAGCCCTGGAATGTATCTGACCCTGCAGTGTTCTAAATGAGGACTTGCAAATGCTTTGTACAACTTTAATGTATAAAGGGATGCTATTAATTGTGCTTTAAACTGTTTTTTAATGTGTTTTCCTTTTTGCTTCTTCCTCACATTGTGTAGAAGATTGATGCATCAACAGACACACCCAAGCCATTTTCACAAGTAGACTCTTCAAATTCAGGGTTTCCAATTTTTATTTATAGTTTATTTTGCTGCCTTTGTAGTATTCTTCACTTGTCTCCATCAGCTGATGTCAAAGTGTTCGCTCTTGATTTCTGAATCTTTAGCAGTTTCCTTTGTAGCTTCTGCAGGCTTTGCTAGTCCTCCTATTTGGTATCATCTGCAAACTAGACTGGTTTACTAACTACACCATAATGTAATATAAGTTAGTTGCACAGGTCGTAATAGTGATTCCCATGGTACTTCAGTAATAATAATAATTGCTTACACTTATATAGCGCTTTTCTGGACACCCCGCTCAAAGTGCTTTACAGGTAATGGGGACTCCCCTCCACCACCACCACCACCAATGTGCAGCCCCACCTGGATGATGTGGGGGCATACAGAGTGCGCCAGAACGCTCACCACACATCAGCTATCAGTGGGGAGGACAGCAGAGTGATGAAGCCAGTTCATAGATGGGGATTATTAGGAGGCCATGATTGGTAATTTCATCACCACAGAATGAGCAATCACTCTTTATCGGCACTCTCTGAACCGCTGGTAGGATAGGTGGCACGTAGTGGTTGCTGTGTGTCACTCAGATGGATGTGTTGCTTCAGTGGTAGATGAAGTTCATCCCCTCCTATGTGCAGAGCTGGTTGGGAAAATACTTCTATGATTACATGTCATCTAGAGCAGTGGCTCTCAAAGTTCTATGGTCTGCGGACCACTTAAACCAAGTCACAGATGTGATGGACCACCTGTGCCTACGTCCACTTCTTAGCCTGTAAAAATCCTTGCCTATTAATGTACTAAAATTAATATTGAATTGAATTTGATGAAAGTACTAATATTTTTACAAACAAAATTGCAGATTTTGCCCATGTTTTTATTGCTTAGAAAGTGAATGTGAAGAATGGGGCTGCTTAAAGCAAGTCACTTTAAGAAAGATGACTGGGTCAGCCCACGGGTGGTCCGCGGACCACACTTTGAGAACCACTGATCTAGAAGTGACAGTCTGGACCCGTCGCCTCACGGCCCCCCTGGTGGTGTGTGTTGGCGTTGCAGGGTGACGTTCTGCGTGGAACACGCCCGCAGGAATGCGCTGGCCCTCCAGGCCCAGATGAGGAAGGCGCCGTCGGGCCCCTCGCCCGAGATCCTTCTCTCTCAGCTCAGCGGCTACAGCCGGCCCGAGCAGGGGAGCCATGGGCACGACAGCAGCCGCAGTGAGGCCAGCCGGATACTCGGTAAGAGGCGTGGCTGGAGGTGTCTGCCAAGCCTGTTTTGCAGGCAGGAAGAGGGTGTTGTTTTATAGGCTGATCATTCTGCTAGTGGTGTTTATATTATGGTTAGATTAGCTCAGTGTATTTTAAGCTTTACAGTAGCAGAATGTCTGAATTGTGCTCAAGAGCTTAAGGTTACAAAAAAAGAGAAGGCCACTGAGCCCTTCTAACTTATTTCGTTCCTAATATTTATTTGATTTGAGATTCTCGTCCAACAGTTTACTGCAGGAGCCCAGGGCATCTGCTTTGACAGCATGGCTGAGCAGCTTGTTCTTGACTCCCATGACTCTGTTTAAAACGTTTGCCTCCCGTTCTCGGTTTTTGCTGCACTTGTATTGGTGTCCGATGGTGTGTGCTCGGCGGTCGATGCAGAATACTCAATGGATTGGCTTCACAATAGTGATCCTCTCTGTTCTGCGTGGTGGCCTACTTGATGGCGTTGAGGGTCCTCTGTCTCTTCTTCCCAGATGAAGACAGCTGCAGCGAAGACGAGCAGGAACCTGCTGTGGTGGATCAGACGTGGAGAGGAGACCCCGACAGCGAGGCTGACAGCATAGACAGTGACCACGAGGATCCCCTCAAGTAAGACGGCACCCCTAGTGTCTGCTCTTTGTAGTACTTCATGCAGAAGCTGAAAGCAAAACTTAAGTCAGGGCAGTTCTCCTAGCCATGCCTCCCATGTTCATAAGACAGGTAGCCTTATGAAGGTAAAGGGAACACTTGTGCCTTTGTGTCCATTAACAAAAGCTTTAATGTAAAGGACATACTTCCTATAAAATCATTGGAAGGATGCAAGAACATCTAGTCGATCTTTAAAATAGAAGAGAGCATTTCAGCAAATTGATCATGGGTGATTTTCATAATTGCAATGCAGTTGTGCAGCGTAGGCTAAAAGTACAGTTTGGGGTGTTGAGATTTAAATGAAGTCCATCTGTACGTTTTGCGTCCTTGATGTTAATTTAGTACTGTACTCCACTGCCACTCTGGGTCAACAGTGCATCAGATTTCTCAAAACGCCTGCTTTATCTCCGTAATGAGGATCCAGAGTCCATGCATAGTACCTTGGTCTTGTGATTTGACACCTTTTTAACCTTTTGCGAGCAGGATTGTGTGGCAACAGGCTAATGTTGTTCTCCTCTCTGGGATGATGAAGTGCCACTGGTGTTCCCTCTCCTTGCTCCACAGGCATGCAGGAGTGTACACAGCAGAGGAGGTGGCCCTGATCACCCGGGAGAAGCTGATCCGGCTGCAGTCCCTCTACATCGACCAGTTCAAACGGCTGCAGCACCTTCTGAAGGAGAAGAAACGCCGGTACTTGCACAGCCGCAAGATGGAGCACGAGACCGTAGGTAATCCAGCCTGGGCTCCAAGCATGGCGGCTCAGTAAAAGCCAGCCGTCATCGGCATCGCCAGGAAATTCTAGCACAAGGAGTAGCTTAAATGTGAGGATGAGGCCATATTTCATTTTATAAACATATCGTTGCATCACTGTGCAAAACTGCACTTGGATTTTATTTCAAGTGGCGATTTTAAAGCCGGTGAATTGTCTGTCAACTTTTCCTCTGTGTCTTCATGCTTGACTCGGTGAATGTTATTATTTGAGTGGGTGTAAATGGGTGTGATTTGGTTTGTTTAGTCCCTGGCAGTATTACTCAAGGGATATTAAACAAGAATCCACTAGCTTCCTATCGGGTTTCATGTCAATCTCGGTCCCCATGCTCACCTATAGGCATGGCTTGCACTTGCCTATCTGACTTACTTTTTACCTACTCCCCACCTCTTGCAAGCTTCGTTTGTCTAATTCCAATCTCCTGTTTACCCCTCTATACAGGGGTGGCAGCGCCTTCTGCTGTGCCCCAAAGCTCTGAAATGATATCCCCGAGGATATCAGAGTCACCCTCCCTGAGCTTTTTTAAATTCAGACTCAAAGTCCTCTCCTTCAGAAAGGCTTTTACCTGATCAGTTCTGTGCCCCTTGCATCTTCTTCTGCATTCTAAACCCTTGGTTTTAATCTAGTTAATTTTATAACCTCCTCCTCTCCTTGTTACCTTTTTTTTGTTACTGAAAAGCATTTTGGGAAGTTATTTTAAAGGCACAATATAAAATAGTTTATTATTATAATGTCTGTACTAAAGAGTTTGGGAGATGAGTTCTAGCAGCTGTGTCAGTGGGAATAAAACAGAGTGGCGCTGGAGCAGGTGTTTGTGTTGCCCAGGGAGCAGCCTGCTGACTGGTCCGGAGGGGCTGTCCATGAAGGAGAGGGAGAACCTGAAGAAGCTGAAGGCCCTGCGGCGCTATCGCCGGCGCTACGGAGTGGAGGCGCTGCTGCACAGACAGCTGAGAGAGCGCAGGCTGGCCACCACCGAGGGGCTGCTGCCACAAGTCAGTGCGAGGGGGCTGCCACTTTCCAGTCCCCTGTTTAGAACATAATGTGGGTTAATCCAACACACCTTTGTCTGCTTCTTCCAAGTGTCTCAGCTGTCCCTGATTTTAGATGGAACACATGGGTGTGCTTTTAATATGACATTGTTAGGTTAGTACATTTTCTGGCTTGCACGTCTAAGTTACACCTTCACTTTTTTTAGCTGGTAGCTGAAGTTGCTGTGCAACATATCGCTAACTCGGACGTGTCCTTCTCAGTCTTGTTTGGCCTCAGAGTTGCATTGAGTTCCTGACCATTTTAACTCTTTCAGGGTGGTAATACCCAAAATGCATCGCATTCACATGTTGTTACTACCCGTTCCCTTTATCTTCATATTAGTGTCGTGCAGTGTTAAATGACCCTGGTGTTAGCTTTAAAAGGGCTAGATCTGGGGTTTCAGAGTTCAGATTCACCTTTATTTGTATTCCTCCAGTGGGAATGGGAAGTGGTTTCCAGTTATTGTCCCGATTGGGTCCTGACTGGTGTTTTCCGAAATGCGCTGTGACAGTAAGTGGTTGAGGGGCTGGAAATAAAGGCTGCGATGTGTCCCCAGGCCCACGCGGCGCGCTCCAGCCAGAGGTGCATCGCCTTGGTGGATGGTGCCCGCTGTTCGAGCCAGTGCCTTCCAATGACGCGGCACTGTATTTCACGTATCCTTTACCGCTTCTCCATGCGCTGCTGTCTGCTTCAAGATGAGTGAGTTTCCTCTTACCTACAGAAGAAGATGGTTTGCTTGCAATTGAGACCCAAGACTAAACGCAGGGGTTCCATAGCCGACTCCCACCCATTTGAAAGGGATTTTTGAAATGTCTGTCTCCTGATCTGCCAGCCCTCAGCCAAGTGGGCGAGGGCAGAGAGCTCTGTACACTTGCATAGCTGTGCCGAGCCATAGGTTGTTGTGGTGTTGTCTGCTTCTCCAGAGGTGCTGCTTAACTCATAAGACTAAAACATCTTTGTCAAAGTCCAAGTCTCCGTTTTGTCATATCAAGACATGACTCCAAGTCTTGATTCTAATGATCCTGATCAAGTGCTGTCCTATGTGTATCTTGTGTGGCAGGGCCCTGAATCAAGGCTGATAGCTTGCAGTAGCTGTTGGTTTCAAACAGGAGCCAAAATGATGTTCTTCCTGTGGTCTGTTGGATATCCCTCCTCCTTTTGATAGGGGATATCCAGTTCAGTTGGAAGAGACAATATTATAGCTGTAATAGCAAGCTTTCCTCCTTCCTTTTGAGGGTCATTCACCACGGTTACCGAGCACTGTTCTGTTTGTCTGCCGCTGTATCCCGCCCACGCTTGACTGACCTGCGCTTGGTCCTGATGCCCTGTGCGCCTGGCTGGCCACGAATTCAGCTGCGCGCCCGGCCGTTTTGCGGTCCCGAGTTCTTGTCCCGCTTTCCTTCACTGCTGCGGCGCAGACATTTACCAGGACAGCAATCAGGTGCTGTTCAAGATGTGCCCCGGCCTGAAGGACGTGCCCTGCGACCGGCCGGTACACCTGGGGCAGTCGGAGGAGCCCCGTTGCCCGCTGCACCTGTCCCTGCCGCCGCCCATGTACCAGCCCGAGCAGGAGCCGCTGGTGCCCGAGCATCTGGCCCCGGTGCCCACCGACCTGTACTTGAGCGCCGCTGAACTGCAGCCCACAGAGAACCTGCCCCTGGAGTTCAGTGATGTAAGTCTTCTCATTGCCTCCCCGTTGTGGGCATTTCCCTTTCAGAAACTCCCGACTCCCTGCTCTTCTGGTGTGTGAATGGGAATTTGCTGGTTACCCGATACCATATTTAACTTGTGAGCAGAATGGGTGTATTCTTTATGATATGGGCCAGAAGACCTCTACTAATTTCTAACCTATCTTGAGTAGCTTATGGATTTAAAGGCCTCATCCACCTGTAAGCAAATTTGCTTTGGTAATATATGGTAGCTTTATATCCACAACTCTATATGTCAGGTAGTTCTGCATTCCTGGGCCTGTTCATTACTTGTCCAGACATAGTCTTCTTCGTTGACCATGTCAGTATGTTTATCCATTTTAAATACTGGTCAACTGCCCTTTTTGTCCTCTGTGTTTATGACTCTGTGCCAGACTTGGGCAGATTCATCTCCTTGCTCGTATGTATGATATTCCTTGAAAGCCAGGTGCCTTGGTGCTTTTGGCCTTCCTTCTGTGACACTAATGTGCCTTATGTGAAGCAGTGATCAGTTTTTCAGGGCCGTGCTAGAAACGCCAGTTACCGTTGCGATTGAGCCCTGAAGGGCGCTGTGCAGGTTGCTGTAGCTGCTGGCTTCCTTCCATGACTTCCTTGAATTCTCTTCATCTAATAGACCTAAACTGGTACTTCATTCTTTTAACAATTACAGAGACTTGATGCTGTGAGAACCTGACACAAACTAGTATTTGCTCTACCGGCTCACAAAACCCAGGTTCAACAAAATTCATATTAAGTGTTCACGTTAAATGAGACATTCTGAAAGATAATGGAATGTATCAGGTATTTAGTTAGGTGAAACTACTAAACTGCTCACTTTTAGAGCTACTAGGATATAGATTTTTTCCATTTCCTCCATGCCAGCTGCTGCTGCTTTGGTACAACAGCGGGTTAGGAGTCGGTCGGTCTTCATGGTGTGTGTGTGTGTGTTTCCAGGACTTGGATGTGGTGGGGGATGGCATGCAGTGCCCCCCCTCTCCCCTGCTGTTCGACACAGCCCTGGCCCTGGAGGACCAGTCAATCCGGGAGATCGCAGAGGCGCCTCTGGATATTCTGACAGCCGAGGAGCAGGCGGGGCTGGAGACCCCAGGGCAGGAAGCGGCCGTCCATTCCACGGAGCTGGAGCTCTCCGCGAGGGACACGGAGCCCATGGAGAACCAGGTGGGGACAGGGTCACCCGTCTGCCAGCTGTGTGCACTGGCTGGGGCCGATCGGTTTAAATGTGCTCCCATGCAAAGGTGCGTAACAGGTTTTTGAAAGGCTTGTAACGTAAACTGCTTTAGATTGGGGAGAGGATACAATTAATATGTTATACACTAATAATAATATACAATAAATATGCTGGCTTTTTATCGGCTGTGTAGCGTTGAGTCTGATTTGCAACCAGTCTTGTGCCCCTCGATCACCTGTCCGTTTTTTTCAGCTGCTCTGGAAGGGGGCGCTTGAGGACGGGACAGTTTCTTTAGTCTAGAGGCCCTGAATGAACGCCGCTAGCTTTTGTAGTAGTGGGGTTCAAACAGGTGCCAAAAGCAAATTCTTTCTATAATCTTCTGGGTATCTCCCCTTATGTGATTGGAAATGGATAAACGCATATGGCCGGATGATTCTAAGTGTTTCCAGGTGTTAGCTGGATTCAGCAAGTTCCTTAAGAGAGGTTAGCTTGCGGAGGAGCACTGTGTCGTCTTTTCTCTTGATGAAGCTCAGGTTCCTGCCTTTTGTCTTCCTCACTGAAGAAATGTGTGTGAAATGCCCTAGAGGCCGTACAGGCAGACTTTGTTGCTGCTGCTGTGTATTCCTGCTGAATTGGAAACGGTGCATGAGGTTGCACTGAAGTGCTTGCTTGTTTCATTTCACAGGTGGTTTTGGAAGCTTCTGACCTAGCTGGCAAAGCCGGTGAAACGGCGCGTGGCATCTCTCCAGCCGACTTTAACACCCAGCCGGCAGACGCAACCTGAGCAGCTGCTGCCCGTGTCGCAGGGCTGGGAAACTCTTCTCGCTGTTGGGAACTTGATGCCCCCACCTCCGGCGTCCCCGCTGCCGCAAGAAGCCCATCGCTGTTGGAGGAGGGAGTGTGGAGGATGGGACCGGGACTGCAGTGTCGGCACGTCACGTGTGACTGCTTCGTGGACCACATTCGTCGCACTGAGGGGCACTTGAGCGGATTGTCTTGTCACCTCCTGGTTTAACAACGCATTGCTGAACACGTGCTGAATGTCCTGTGAACAGCTTGTCCGCCCTCGCTGTGTTTACTGTTGCCCTTCTGCAGACTGCGGATAACTGATTCCATGCCCTCCATGAGCATTTTGTGTAGTAGGAGAACGAATAGGCTGTTCGAGGGGCTTGTTTTTCCATTCTGTACAGTCAGATACCATCAAGAGCACTTGCAGTGATTGGCACATCTGTACTCTTTCAGTGTCGGTGAATATTTATTAAAAAAGGCAACTGGATTTTTGACCTTTATTGTCTCTTAAATCGGCCGTTATGTCACAAATCATTCCTTCATTGGCGGAAAGCAGGTCGTCCCTGGAGGAGCTCGTGTCTGCCCGCACCCTGCCCGGGCGCGAGCACCCAGGGTGATCCGGAGACGCCAGGCGGCCATGCCAGCCTGTCTTTGGAAAGTGGGAGGACGGGGGTGTCCATGGTTGGAGCTTTTTCTTCCTGGCATTTTGATATCCGCAGCGCGTTATTTGAAGGAGTTCGATTTTTTTTAATTATTAAAAAAAACCTATTGTTTTGACCGATTGATTGGCATTTTGGGTGTTACCTTAATTAAAAATAATTTCTTACACTTGCGTAGCGCTTTTCTGGACACTCCACTCAACGCGCTTTACAGGTAATGGGGATCCCCTCCACCACCACCAGTGTGCAGCCCCACCTGGGTGATGGCGACGGCAGCCATAGTGCGCCTTAACATGGGAAATAACTCAAGAGGTGTGTAAGTAAATGGACACAAGTTCTCCGATGGAAGTAACTTGTGAGAGTGATTGCTGGATTAGTGCAGCTGGAACGATTTCCTTTCCTCTTCTGCTTCTTTGCTTTGTGATGCAGCCGCCTGTGGACCAGGAGCCCGGAGTCCTAGAATGGTTTAGCTGTATTTTCTGGTAAGTAGGGAGGCCATGGTAGAACTGTGATACTCGCATTCTTCCGAGCAATAAATTAAAAGGTCAGAAAGGAGACCATCAGTCCTATAGCTCCTGTATCGATTGCTTCGTTGGAGTGATTGAGAAATCACAGGGCGTCTGCTGCTGTAACGGGTGAGTGGCTTGTTCCACACACAACCCTCTATGTGATTACAGTCTGCGTGTTTTGCGGTGGTTCTTGGCGAGCTTAATTGGACCAGGGACCAGAAGTGCTGCAGGGAATTGCAATGGCCCTGGTTCCTCACAGACCTCTGGCTAATTGGGGATCTAATCCTAAAAACAGTGGCATCGCATCTCTGCCGTTGATGAGCACGATCGGGCAGAAAGGATATCATACATGTATTATTGCACTGGTATATGGTTTGTCACTTGTGACAGAAAAAAAAAAGATGTTTTTTTTTTTTTTGGTTTCTTGCTCCAAACCTTATCTTATCTGGCTCAACATGCTTGTGACAATACTTTTACATTCTGCCTGTGTACGCATGCTGTAAATTAGATTTACTACCTAGCACAAATACACAATGGCTTCTGCTGAAGGCGAGTACAATTTACTCCATCTCGGGTTGCTTGTGTCTGCGTGAATGAGGATGGATGCAGCATTGTGGTTCTGCATCATAAAGTATTCTGCTACTGCGAGGAGTGAGAATAGTATGATAGGTTCCTGTTTACAGAAGCACGGGATGGCAAACCCCTTGTGGAAAGACTTCAGTGAAGCTATACTATCCAAGGGTACTTCATAGCGCGCCACCCATGACTTTCGTTGCCGGTGCGCTGGAGAATGACGTTCCACCACGAGGGGGAGCTCCTCCACGAGCACAGTCACAGTCTAACGTCAATGCTTTATTATAGAGCTATTGGTTAGATCTTAACCTGCACGGATGACTCAAGTGGTAAAAGGCGAAGTAGTCCGTTATCATTTTTATGATGGAGCTAGACCTGTAGTTTGGCACGGAATATAAAAAGTAAAACGTAAACAGGAAAATCTGAATATCCTGTTATTATACAGTACGTTTGATGGCGTTGGCGCCTGCACCACAGTAAACACTTATCCTGTAATTTCCTTTTCTTCCACTTTCACGTCGTCTTGTGCTCTGGATCGGTTTTCCTCTCCTTGTGGTCAGGGGTTATACTGCAGAAACCGCCTCTGTGCTGTCTGTACCTGCTTCGATTACCTCCGCCAGTTCAACGACTGGCTCATCGTCTGGGTTGGGGGGGGTACGTACTGACGAAGAATGACGACATCCTGTGACAGTATTTCAAATTAGCCGCGGGGAATGAATAGTACGAGACGCAAGGAAAGAGACCCGCCCTGCTCTCCCCGGCTTCACACCACGCCGCTGGGTGGCGCTGTTGTGCGCTCTGCCCCGTCCAGCCAGACTCGCGTCCTTAACACTCCGTGCTGTCCAGCTGTTGAGCCTCTTCCTTGCTGCTGCCGCCAAGATCCCCAGCTCTGGGTCTCAAGCCACCACTGCTCACTGCAGACGCTGGCTTAGCCGAGCCCGGAGATGGGGACATTTGGCTTCTGGATACCGGAGCCATAGACGACGCTCGAGTCTGCCGACGGGTTTCCGACTGGCATCCTTCCGAGGGGAGCCGTCCGGGCCCGATTGGCTGCCCCCGGGAAGACGGGGCGGGCGGGAGCAATTTAAAGTAATGACATCACTTTTCCTGACAAGCGCTTCCCAACACAGGAAAGGGGCTGCGGGGATTCTGTTGCGCTGTCAGGGAACAAGAAGGAGCATCGCGGCTTCTTTTCAAGCAAAATAGGAGTCCGACTCCTTTGTAGCCTCCGATGTGTGTCGCAGGCTCGGCTCTCCCCAGCAGACGTCGCCGGACGAGGTCGGTACTGGTTTTGTGCTGTTGGACATGGTCTCATTGCAACGGCGCCTGGTACTGGAGGGATAATTTAAAGCCCCATTCCAGCCGGGTGTTTATCTACCTTATCGTGCCACTCTTTGCTTGGCGATAGGCTCACTCGGTGTCTTTTGTCTGGCAAGCGGAGAGGATACAGCTGTTTTTTTTTCCACTGAGCGGTGGCGCTTTGGCATCTGTCGGCGCTGGGAGCTGAGACCGCTCAGCCTGACGAGCCGGTGGTTTCCGTGCAGGAAGGTGGCCGAGTCGCGCTGAACTCCTGGCAGCTAAAAATGCAAAAAAGGACCTCCCCCCCCCAAAAAAAAAAAAGACCGCTGGGGTCCGGCCATTGACCGCTGGCGAGAACCTCTGTAAAAACATGTTGATTCTGCCAGGAGATTTGATTTGAAGGTGGTCGCTGCAGAAGTAGAACTGCATTCATCAGAGGTTCGGGATTTGAATGCTCCTGTTCCTCTGAAGAGTATTGTACACCAAGGCCCCGGCGTCTTGTGTTCTGAGGGAGAACCGCAGGGCTGAGAGGCCAGTTTATAGCTGCTTTTGAAATAATTAGCTGCTTTGTGCCGTTCTGCTGTAAATAGCTATTTTCATCATCTCTGCGCAGAAGGGTAAATAGCATTTTTTTTCCTGGGGCGCTGTGTTACGTCTCCTGCGCTGGGAATGCACGCCGATGTTGGCTCCCGTGTTCCGGCGGAGGTCGGACCGCGAGGGCTGCGCGAGCTCTGACCGTCCCGTGCCGTGAGGACGGACTGTCCGGTGTCCGCGCGCGTCCGGGTGGCACCCGCGACTCGCCCAGTGCCCACGGGCTGCACGCTCTTCTCTGGGAAGGATACAGAGGCACGGCCGATCATTTTTAGCCACTTCGAAGACTCCAAACACATTTCCTTTTCCGCAACGTCAAATGAGGAACTAACATTTTTAAAGTTCGGTTAAACAGTCCCGAGAGAGCCCCCATTTATTAACGACGTTTTTACAGATGCGCTAGTTCTCAGCACACACCACAGCAAATTGTATTATTTATTCATTTTCTTAAGCATTCAAGCGGTGAAGTGTGGATTTCTGTTCTTGACTGGCAGAGAGGACCACGGCAGTTTTGTCTGGTGAGATGTCCTGCCCTCCCGAGAGCAGGAGATCAGCGAACGGAGTACAGAACTGCGCCATTGATCTCGCTGGACAGAGCGATCGCTGATCCTCTGGCCACAGGCTTCGTCCGCATACTGTCACCTCCTGAACCGGTCTTCTCCTTCAGGACACGTAGCTCCCATGTGCTTCGTCCGACAGCTTTTAATAAGTGTGGTTACAATATAAAAATCAGTTATATTAAAAGAATAAGTTCATTTGGACCAAAAAAAAAAGAGGTCCTGATCAAGGAATTGGCCGTGCTCTGTATCCTTTTGGAACTGAAAATCATTCAGTTTGAAATGGCCCCCAGTCTTAGATCAAACCTTCAGTCCTTTAAATCATCACTGCGTCAGCATGTGATGGGATGCTGAAGACGCAAGTACAGTTTTCAGGAGTGAGGACCGTGTGTTTTTACCAGCTTGGTTTGGTTTGCTCAGTGGTTTAGTCTGCAAGGGCAGATCTCTCTGAGTTTGGGATGTCCCGATGGGTTTTTTTCTGTCAACAAGCTTGACTTTAGTGACTGCAGGTGTGCAATGTGTTTCCCTACAGGCCTGTAGGCTTCACTTTGCGATGTTCTGCACCTGAAGCAACCCAAGTCAACAGTTTGTGTTACAAAAAGCCGCAAATATCTGCAACAGCTTCCCAAAGGAACCCTAGTGTCTTTTGTCACCTTTTTTATGAGCAGACATCAAAAGGCTGGTTGACGTGCTAACCTTACAGGTTTGACAAGGTTTAGGTGGGATCGTGTGCCGATAAGAGTGTCTTTCATTCTGAATCGAGACGGCACCTGCAGTAGTAACCTGCTCCCGTAGTCCAGGTGGGGTGGCATAGCCCGGAGGTGACGGGTTCGCATCCAGTTATCCTTTCCTGTGATCCTGTGAGATAATTCTTCCCTCATGTCCCGGACTTTTGGGTTGAGGACAGGGCCCAGTGACCTCAATAGTAATAGTAATCATGCTGACGCAGCAGTAGCTGAGAGCTGTATGAAGGAGCCAGGTTTTTTAAAGCCTTAAACAGGACTTAACCATCAGCCTATGTAGAGATTTAAGTGTAGGAGTGACAGGCTGCCAAGTTCAACTGTAGTAACTGTTTACCAGATTAACAGCAATCTTCTTTGTCTTGGCTTAATTTTATTTTCAATTGAAAACTGCATTTTCAGTTTTTTTTTCTCCCACATTGGAGTTGAAGCATAACTGTCTAGACAATTATTACGCATTTTAGGCTGAGGATTCAATTACAGTCTTCATCCATGTATTATGGAATAAACCTATTACTTTATCCATGTATTATGATGCATTGTGTTACCACAGCGTAACACTTTACTTGCTGAAGAGAAATTCAATGAAAGTTTTTTTTTAAATGATAGGTTTCCTGTGCGCTTTAAATACCCCTCTCCACTGGTTGATTCTAGCCGTGCAGACTGGCAGAGTTTAAAGCTTTAATTAACTACAGTGCAAAGGAGGGCGAAACCGTTGGGACCACATGCTTCCCCAGACTTCTTAAAGGCTTTTCATATGTCTAAAGTTTTTGCAAGAAGCTCCACATCTTAAAGAAACTAATTACTCTCCCCAGCACGTTTACCAGCCCTCTGCCCCACCCCCTCACCCAGCAGCGAGGCGTGTCTGTTGCCCAGCGCCAACCAATCCCGCCACCCGAGCTCCCCTGGCCACGCCCAGGTGCTGTGAGCATTCCGGGGGCTCAGAACTGGGAATTGTGTCCGTGATTCCGACTTCAGCTGCAGTTTTAGGAATGGCCATAATTCAGCGGGGGCCGGCCGGCTGGCCTGCTGGCTGAAAATCCAGCCTTAGAATCTCTTGTCGGTTTAGGTGCTCTGTGCAGATGCTGGGTGGGAGAGCTTGCTGTGTTTCAGAGGAAAAAGTCTAGTTACCCTCTTTATGCTTAGCGGGGTGTCTTGGAGCCCCACAGGATAGTCTTCCAGCCTGCCAAGCCGCCGAGCTCTGGCCGAAAGGCGTTCCGGGAACACGGGCAGTGATCGTTCTCTCTCGCCCTTCTCTCCCTAACCAGCGTTTCATTTTTTAACTTATACCGTCTTACTGTTATTTAATGCTGCTCTCCGATCGACACCACAGTTCCGTCGGGAGCTGCAGATTGAATTCAAATGCAAGGAGGTAAAGACACTAGAAGTGGTTGTCTGGATGGTGTTAGGTAGGTGAGCTGCGTTGGTGGCCAAAATAAAAAAATAAAATAAAAAAAAGGAAAGGAAAATGAGGCACCAGCCCGGGGCATTGTCATGCAGAGGAAGTCTGTCTCATCTTCCTGGTTGCAGCTGCTCTGACGCAGCCGGAGGGCTCTGGGCTGAGACCCTGCCCGTCCACACAGCCTGCGTACAGATCCCTGCCTGTACCTGAGCGAGGTGACTCACGATCACACAGCAATCAACCTCACCCTGGAATAAGCTCTGCAACTAGTTGAGGTCGCTTAAACGGCTTTAGTGGCAGTAATGCATCACCTCAGCTCAACTACAATGTAGCTCATTGTAGGCTGCAAAGAGATGACTGCCCCAGGACTTCGCTGGTAAACACGTGGGCATCATGTCCCCTTAAACGTGTTAAACCCGTGTGGCGAAACGGGGGGCGCTCTCCAGATCACACTGATGCCTTGCAGAAAGAAGTTAGCAGCTGTGGCCATAAATACCAACAAGAGAGAACATGTCTTCCGTGTGAAGAGCTGTTTTCCCCCCGAATCCGCCGCCTGTGTCTAGACAGTTGCTCAGTTGTTTGGCCGGTCGGGTTGGGTGATCAGACGCTGGAGCGGAGACGCGTGCTGTGGCAGTTGCCCCGAGATGAAGAGAGTTTGTGGGGCGCAGCGTGATCCCTGCCCCCAGGCCGCCCCGCGGGCCTGCTGCTCCCACGCGTGCTCCTCCGACTCCTACAGCCCGCCCCGGTCCTGCAGGCGCCTTATTGTGAGGGAATATTGAAAACTCAAGGCCTGGCGCGGACCAGGCAGAGGTGTGGGTGGCTGGAATGTGTTTGATTCGACAAGGTGTCGTGCATAATCCTTTGAGCCTGTTTAAGGATAGAATACTACTCTTAAAAAAAAGGTGCCATCCTTCAGATGAGACGTAAAAACCGAGATCCTAACTCTCAGTGGTATTTAAAAATTCCAGCGTGTTTCTCAGAAAGAGTAGGCACGTCAACTCCAGTGTCCAGGCCTTTACCAATCATGGCCTCCTTATAATTCCCATCTAAGGATTGGCTTCATCACTCTGTTCTCCTCCCCAGTGATAGCTGGTGTGTGGTGAGTGAACTGGCATCGCATCATCCTCGTGGGTGCAGCACATTGGCGGTGGCAGTGGGATTCCCCTTTACCTGTAAAGTGCTTTGAGTGGAGTGTCCAGAAAGGCACTATATAAGTGTAAAGAGTTTATTATTATTATTTACAGCATGTGGATTAATGTTCTCTCACCACTGCAACCTGCAACCCCCAATGAGCTGGCAGTGGGAGCATACAGATGAGGCAGACATCGCTCAGGCTGAGCCCTACAGGCCAGGGATCTCCAGGTCAAGCATGACATTCGCCATTCACTGTTTGTGATTAAGTCTATTAAAATTTCCCAGGTGGCATCACAAAATTGGTTGAGTCTAGTGATATGAATTTAATAATAATAATTGCTTATTGCTTACACTTATATAGGGCTTTTCTGGATACTCCACTCAAAGCACTTTAAAAGGTAATGGGGACTCCCCTCCAATGTGCAGCCCCACCTGGATGATGCAACAGCAGCCATAGTGCAGCAGAACACTCACCACACATCAGCTAACAGTGGGGAGGAGAGCAGAGTAATGAAGCCAATTCATAGATGGGGATTATTAGGAGGCCATGGGTGG